CATTTAATTTTATATATATATATATTATATATATATTCAGTGCTGTTTGACTACTTTTATTTTCTTTTTAAAATATTCTGTTTCTATTTTTAATGTCAAGTAATTAACATAATGGTTTTATCTTTAACTTTTAGAATTTCTAACAGCGAAACAATGAAACGATGATTTTGAAATATCTCTTTGGGACTCAGCTCATAAACAAATGCAACTTTAAAAACAGGGTTAAATCTGAAACATACTGGCGAGCACAACGTGGATGTTATCATATTAAAGGCCACTGAAGGTAGGTTAGCATATTTTGCACGCCTTTGGGCCTATTTATAGATCTGACTCCTTTTTGCAAAGTCAACTGTAACACTACACTTATTTTAAGCCTCGGAATCTCAAATGTCAGCCTCTGCTAGTTGTACAGTTCTCTGTTTCTTGACATCAGAGAGCCCAATGGAGCCTGCTGAAGTACCCAGTCAGATTAGCAAAGATAATTTTTTAGAAGTTCCTAATGTATCTGATTCTGCTTGTGAAGAAGAAGTTAAAACTGCTTTCAAACCTGGTTTTTCCCCTCAACCAAGTAGAAGAAGTTCTGCATCTTCTGAAGACATGTACCTGGGCACTCCAACTTCAGGAAGCAGAAGAGTTTCATTTGCTGATAGCTTTGGATTCAATCTTGTGTCAATTAAAGAATTTGATTCTTGGGAATTACCAAGTATTTCAACAGATTTTGAGTTAAGGAAGGATATTTTTCACACAGAAGAATGCATTTTATCTCCACTATTTGATTTGCCTTCTTCAAAAGAAGATCTTATGCAACAACTTCAAGTACGGAAAGCGATACTGGAGTCAACTGAGTACCCTCCTGGGTCGACGAGTATGAAGGGTATTATTCGAGTTTTGAATGTTTCTTTTGAGAAGTTAGTATATGTGCGAATGTCCTTAGATGACTGGCAGACATATTATGACATTTTAGCTCAATATGTTCCCGATTCATGTGATGGTGAAACTGACCAGTTCTCCTTTAAGATTTCATTGGTTCCTCCTTATCAAAAGGATGGCAGTAAAATTGAGTTTTGTATACGTTATGAAACATCTATGGGTACATTTTGGTCCAATAATAATGGCGCAAATTATATATTGCTTTGTCAAAAGAAAGAACAACGGTCAGTGCCTGAAAAGCCACAGGAAGAAGTTTCTAGTAGACAGAAAAAAGGCTGCTTAAAGGTAAAATCAAGGTAAGGATATATTATACATTCTTTTTGTTCATTATCTTATTCAAAATTATTCAAAAAGAGCATTGTGGAATTATTTCTCCATTGTGGGGAAAATTATGGTTATAATTTGGTGGATGGGGAGGGCAATGTCTATATTGCTTGTTTCATGAGTTACAAATTAATTTTGTATATGTAAAAACTTTTGACATTTAATGTATATTTATTTTTATAGTTGTTAAATACATACACAATGAAACATTTTTGACTAATCTAAAATCGTATTTCAATATATACTTAGTACTCAGAAAGTTGTAAACTTCCCCTGAATGTCACAGCAAAAATCTTACTGAGTCATACAAAGATGTTTGGAGTGGATTAAGTATTAAGTTAAATGACAAGAGGTATGACTTTAATGATTAACAAGTTGGAAGCAAGTGATGGATGTATAAATTACATATAGAATTTTATCATCATAACTTGATATAACAAATATGGAACAAACATTAGTATAATTTAGTAAAATCAATTATATACAATAAAAAATGACTCAAATAGAAAAATAGACACTCAGCTACATAGATTAGAGATTTGGGATGTGAACCTTCATTAGTAACCCTGCTTTCTTATTAATGTGGAAGAAGAGAGAGAGAGAGAGAGAGAGAGAGAGAGACCCTACCCGTGATTTGGGATGTGAACCTTCATTAGTAACCCTGCTTTCTTATTAATGTGGAAGAAGAGAGAGAGAGAGAGAGAGAGAGAGAGAGGAACCCTACTGGCTTTCAGCCATCTCAGTAGTGGAGAGCTGGCTAATTTCAATGACACTGATTTAGTAGCTGAAACATGCAAGAGGAGTTAGACCCCTTTTGTTCCTTCCAGGGTTCCAGAGAAAAAGTCCATGTTACTCCTCTAGCTACAGCCAAATGCCTGATTATCCTCTGAGTGATCCATCCTAACCATCCCTAAACCCAAAGATTTTAGTAACTACAGCAGAAATTATTATTTTTGAATGAAACAGTGAAAAGAAAACTATATAGGAAGGAAAGTATCTAGATTCCAATTCTTTAAGCCAAATTTAATTAAAAAATAAAATGCAATATTGGGAAATTTTTAACCTCTCCATGTTTTCATATGTAAAACATGTTGTAATTACTAAATGTATTGTTTTAATGTATTAATGAACTGAATGTTGTATAGATTCATCCAATTCAAATATACAAAATATTTCTATTTTTATTTCTCTGTAGTTATTTGAAATAGTAGTTCAATCAGCTTTGTGAATTGTACCAACTTTCTTAACTCAAAATCAACACTTTCAGATTTTTACTCATGCTACTAAGAGAAATAATATAATCGTAACCTCCGTGTGATAAAATAACAATTTCAATTTTTATGAAACTACTTAGCACATTAGCCATGTCAACAAAATCATTCAATGCTATTTAGCAAACTAATTTCTATACATAAGCTCCCACAAATTTAAAACTTTAAAGAGTTAGATTTTAGTGAATGTCTTTTAAGTGTTGAAACTTGCTCTATGTGAGAAAATCACTTAGGGAACTTATAGACTTAACAGGTTCATAAAAGAAGCAGAATTTAACAATGGATTGTTCTATGAAATAAGAGGTAGCTTTACAACTAAAAGCAATACTTTTTGAACTATGGTTAGGGAGGAGATTATTTTATTAAATTTGACTTGATACCAAGAGCAACGAATAGACAACAAACAGGCCCAATTTTCTACCTAAGTCATATTTTTTGGAATGTCTCCTGGTTGAAGATACATATAACTATATACATCCACACACATTTGTATTCAGAACAGTAATCACTGGGTTCACAGAAGACACCATTCAAGTTTTAATATTGCTTTGGGGGAAAACCTGAGAAGAACTAAACCACAAAATGGTCTGAAGGCCTGTAAAGTTTCCTAATGAGTTATAAAAATGGAAAAAATCTCTCTCCTTCAGAACCACAAATACATTTTCTGCACTTCTATTACTTAAAAATGACCAACATAATTCAAACCACATTTTGAAAAAAGCATTTGCCTCTGGAGGAGGCTTTTTGTGCTGAGTTTCAGTCCAACATGAATTTTTACATCTGATTTATATACCACTCAAAATGGAGTGTATAAAGGAAATCCTGACAGATCCTTAGAACACCATACACCATAATAGAATATTTATACAGCTTTTCCATGATATAATTTATATGCAATGGGGTTTCAAGTATTGCTAAAACTCACACAAGAGAGCATTATCAAATTTCTAAATGAATATTGCAGTTGGAGTTCATGGAGAGGAATTTGGCTTGAGAAAAATATTATTAGTACTATTTTGCAAACGTATAGTTGAATAAAATAAAAATGAGTTAATGCTTACTTGATACAAAATTATAGCTTTGAAAATGCCCTACGCTTTCCAAATGGTTGCAAGATTTAAAATGATCTTTTCCAAGCATTTCCACACTTCCTAGGTAGCTTAATTTGGAGGTCATTTCTTTCCAAAGATAAAAGCAAAAGAGGAATATATGTGAATTTCTGCTTTATATATGCAAGCAGATTATTAATTATGTCCAACATAACAGAGTTAAAATGAAAATTAGGTTGAGCTAGTGCACAGAGTAACATCTAACTTCAATTATTCTTAATACCAAAGTTAATTTGCTATCAGGGTTCCTGAGATTGTATCTTCTGGAAGTGTCAATAATCCCTCCTAATAAGTATGGAATGAACTGTGGGAAAACATTCAGGAAGGAAGGATTTCTATTATGTCAATCACCCACGCAGACATTATGTTTTCTTTATGGAGATTTTTCTCAGGTCAGAGTTTGCAAATCTCCATATTGGTATGGATTGTCTATTTTCTTTTGATGCCTGTTAATCGGAGAAAGAAATATCCAGCAGGAGAGGAAAGCAGAGTTTGTAACTCATAGGCATGTGACTGAGAATAATCCAAAGGTATTTGATTGCACTCACAGGCGTGCACCATGAGATACTTGTTAAGTGTCACCACATATGCAGCACTGAGATATGAACTAGCAAACAACATAAGCAGATGTCTTATCCATATCCCACGGACATTTTTAAAAATCAGTGACAAAAAAAGACACTGATACAAATAGAATTAAATGTGTCTCGATAAATAAGCTAAGACAGCATTCAGTGACAGTGTATCCATATGACTATAGCTTTCCGAATTAGCGTATTTGAGTTTGGGTCCCAGTTTTACTACATAGTAACTATGTAAATGAGCATATTAAGGTTGGTTTTGTCATCTATTAATTAAGAGTATTATTTTCTCTCTCTGATGGGGATTTTTTGAAGTGTCTATGAGTATTTAGTCTTGGGCACATAAATATTATCTGAAAAAGAAAAAAGGCAATGTTAATTCTGTCTTTGGGATGTCTGAAAGACTTTATTTGGACTCAAACTGCCCCTAAAATGTTCTTCGTTTACTTTCAAGGCTTCCAAGTTTTCAGTTTTGGAAAATTATTACTTTGTCTCTTCTAAGTTTTCAATGATAAAGCAAAACTAAATCCCAAATTTTCTTAAGATATGTGTGACATATCTGGAACATTTAAAACTTGAAGAGAATTTAGAGGCTGTTAAAATTTTCATATTTAATGCATGAAATATGAAGAATGAAAGTATAAGGGATTAAAAGGCATTGATATTGGCACTGAGTGTATGTGCATATTAATTCTAATGAAATTTATCCACATCTACATAGATATTCAGAATATATTTCATTGGGATGGCTATGTGGCTGTGAACATATTACTTTATTTCACCTGTCAAATAGAAGTCATGTTGCTTGATGTCATGTTGATTAAACTAATCTAAGATGAGATTACATTGTTCAAATTTCTAGTAGAGAGTTGGGCAGGTATAAAACCATCATCTTAAGCTAACTATTAAATTACCATTTCCGTGATCAAATCTCCTGCTAATTTCCTGATATTTGGTCTTGTATTATTTCTCCAGATAAGATAAATTTCCTTGTTTGAATTCCAAAACAAATTCAACAGATATTCATTAATGGTCTTTGTGTCAGGCAACAGTATCCACCAGAGAAAAGTGCCTGAAGATGTGGGACTGAGAAGACAAGGAAAAGGCTCAACAGGAAAGGCTTTACAGAAAAGAGGAGAGTTAGTGCAATCAAAGTCTAGTCCAGATTCTCTGGTTATACAATGGAAGCCACAGATTTAAAATAACAATTATTTATATTTCAGATTTTCTAGAATGTGTGAACTATAACTGACATTGGATACTGGCTAAAGGAATGCTCTCCTCAACACCTGTTAAATGAATGTTCTTAATAGCTAGGTACACCTGTTGACTTCACCTCATTACTTCTTTTATTAAGTGCAATAAATTTATTATTGTAGGTAAAGAAATGGCATGATATAGGTGTTGGACGGTATTTATAACTTGGCCAAGTGAATGCAAAAAAAAAAAGCTCTAAATAACTTTAATACCAAGAAAAAAATGGATTAGTTCACAATTTCTTATACTTGAGAAATAGCACCAGGTATATTCAGGAATAGAAAAGAGAGAAATCCTTTCTAAGGTGCAGTTTTATGGATGAAGAGAATTTGTCATTAAATAGGGCCAAGAACAGCTTTCAAAATTGGGCCATAAGATACGTCCATGTAGCCTGGCACAGGAAGATCATAAGACTTCCTTAATTTACACTAACAGCGTAATCTGGAGACCTGGACATAGTGGAGAAAGGTATAATTAGCTCCGTGAGGGTTTTGAGACTTAATGTATTCCATAACTAACTCATGTTGACGCCACACTAATTGTGGGAACTGGGTTATAGAAGGGGAGGGACCTCTGACATGTCTGCATGGAAACATAAAACACAGCTGCACAGACCCATCAAGAGGATGTGGAAGCTGCCAGATGGTTGACAGCAAGAAGCCAACTAGTTTAGAATTTCCTTGGAGATCCACCATACCTTTGTGACTTCCTGGTTTTGTGAAAATCCAGACCCTTATCAGCTTATAGTATTGTC